GTGGTATTTCCTTCTTTGTAGAGAATTTATTTTGTACATTGAAAACACATATCTTTCTCACATTGATCTAGATATCCCAACTCCTTATTTAGGATCAAAGGATGGTAAAATAACTCTCTCACTGCATATAGGATGTAGCATATAGGATGCAGAAATAACATTAGACATACTGGGTCAGGGATACAAGAAAGCTACAGTCAATTCTTCTGTTTTTCAAGTAAATGATTTTCTTACTGTATTTTAGCTACTTTTTTGAACTACAGTAAACAGTTACAATTGACAAATTTCTATTTTTAAACAGATGTGATAGATATGGAGGTAGCAACTCACTTATACGTACGTGCCAGATTCAATAAAACTAAATGTTCTGAAGTTATTAGAATTAACAATTTGAAATAGAAATGCTATTTATCTAAACTAGAGTAATGGAAAATATCAGCATCTCGAACCAATGATTATTCTCACTAGTTACATGGGTGCAATCCCTTGAGTCAGTGTAATTGAGAGCAGAATTTGGCTAATAGTCTCTGATGAATCTGACATGTTGTCCCTGGCAGATCCTTAACGCAAACAAAGTGTCCTTGATGGAGTTGGATCCATAAATTCTGAAGTGCGCTTTTTAGATTTTAGCTTCTAATCCCTCAGGAAAATTTGGCGAGGTTTAAGGATCTTCCAGGGACAATGTATCAGATTCAAATCCTCCCATTAGATCCGCCAAATGGATTTTAGATCAATGACTTACAAGTATTTCAGAGTCTGAAAGAAATACATCAGCAAAACAATTTGGTGTCATTTATTTTAGACATGGGGATTGAGCAGAAGGGGAGGGTATTCTGTTCAATATGTCTGAGAGGATATTATTGAACGCAAGTTATTTATGCAACCGGTGTGGGTGTATTTCTGGACATTGTGGTACATGATGTGTGTGGCAGTGGACTGAAAGACCACAGGTGATACATTTGTTTATCCATCTGTAACATGCCACTCCTTTTGAACTCACATGCTCTCCTTCAATCTTGCCCCTTCAGGTTATCTTTCAGAACTTTTTCTACTCCCCCAAGGTGTGTCCCACTTCTACTCCCCCAAGGTGTGTCCCACTTATTTGAGAGGGCAGGAGTGGAAGCACAGGGAGCCCTGGGCAGCCCTGCTGTTACAGAAGTGAGTGAATAGGGCCATGAGAAGGGAGCTGCAGAGGGCTCCCTGAACTGCCGCTCCTTCCCTCTCGATTATCCAAACTCCCGACTAGCTGAACAATATCCATGGCCTGCATGCTAACTGGATAATTGGGAATATGCTGTATATACACAATATAGTGAGGAAACTTCCCTTATCCCTGTCTCATAACATAAGAACAAGGGGACATTCAATAAAATCGAAAGGTGGCAAATTCAAAACTGATTAAAGGAAATCTTTCTTTTTACATGTAATTAAACTGTGGAACTCATTGCCACAAGGTGTCATTGAGGTCAAGAATTCAGCAAGAGTCAAAGAGGGATTGGATGTTCATAGAGATAACACAAATACCCAGAGTTTTAATAATTAATGCTGACAAGAAGCATATTGGAAGGGAGATAAAACCTCAAATTTCAGGAGTTAAGGGAACTGCTAATTATCAGTGATTAGGATGAGACCTACATGGGAGACAGATGCCTCCTTTGGGTTTCTTCTGTCTTCCTCTGAAGCATCTAGTCCTGGCCTTTGTCAGAGACAGATTTCTGGACTAAACAGACCATGGGAATGGACCATTCTGGAAATTGCCATGTACCTATTATTTCCTTATATATCAATACCTCCAGCTTCCTAATAATTTTTCTCATTCTTCTCTGAATTCCATCAAGAAAGTAGAAAATTTTGCTAGTAAAATAATAATAATAATAAAAATGACCTGGGTACCTAACAGTATTCTAGGTATGGGCCCACTTGTGTTACATTCGGAAGAGTTGTGCTACTAAATATTCAGTTCAGAGGTACAATGCCTTTTTTGGCTGAAGTAATGCGTTACAAGTTCACTAGATCTTTTAAAGCATTTCTATTCGCTATGTACTCTATGCTCCTACCAATGAGTAATTGTTTCAGATTATTTTACTCCAGATATATCAATGTAAATGTTTCTAGGTAGTTATTGACATCTCACTATTTCTATCTCTCTAGATGTCTTAATGTTGTTTATATCTGGCTTAACGGTTGATTGCAACATCTCCCTATTTGCTGTGGTGTTCTGATTTTCATTAAGACGATGTCTTCAAACTCATTCAGATTTTTAGTAAAGATGCTAAATAAGGCCAGACGTAGGACCACTCCTTACAGTCCAACTCACCCTAACTCAACAGATTGCCTGAGGGCACAATCTTGTGTTTATTGTCCTTCAGCTCCATTTGACAGTGCTTTTATCCAAGCTAATGTGAATGAATTTTCTTAAATAAAATTTTGAGAGACACCATATTGAATGATTTACTAACACCTATATGTATTATTAACCAGAAGCTGTTGCGTCATAGTTAAAGTGAAGTCACTTTCCCATTATTAGACTGATTTTCAAACACCCAGTCCCAGGATAAAGGAGGAAAGGGGATGCTGGGCTATGGACAGGGATGAACAAAATCTCTTTTCCATGTTGTATACATTTTGCACCACTATAATAAAAACAATGTCTGCAAATAAAAATTTAGGGGCTCCAGCCTGATTCCCACTGCCATACAGCCCTTCAGAGCTGTAGCCTCTTCCAAATTACACCACCCACCTACATTTAATTCTCTATGCTTAAAGAGATGGAGCCAAATTATGCTCTCTGTTACACCATTATAAGCCTCATAACTCTATTTACTTTAGTGGTGTTTCTCCAGATTTACATCATTGAAACTGAGAGCAGAATTCATCTCTGTCTCTTTAGGTTTACTCGTTCTTTGTCATATCTTGGCTCTGCATCATTATCTCAATGAAGCTTGTCTTCGGTTATGAAATGATGGTGAAAATAATTTGGTAACAATATGGTTTTCTGAATTTTCTTATGGGAAATATGCCATCTTTAAGAGCCATCTTCTCTACAGCTGACCAAAATATCTACAAATGAAAAGATTCATTTTCTTTTTTTCCTACATTAAACAGCAGCAACAACAAAAAACAAATCTGCTGTTCTAATGAAGATTCTCCAGAGCCATATCCCCACTCTGCCAGCAGACAAATATGTCATCTCTATATCAAAAATATACTGGTGATTTCAAAGTTGCTGAGCTCAGTGCCTTAAGAATAATTTGCTAAGCATATTGTTATAAATGATGTTCTCAAACTGACCTTGGTGTGACATTGCGTGCTTGAGAATGGTGTCTATCTAATTAAGTATGTGAAGTAAAGATTAAATGGGTGAATGCAGGTTGTAGACTTTTGCCTCAGTAATGTCGTTGGTTTATTGAATGGAACATTGTTGCACTTTTCTGCTATTGTTTTCTTGGTCTGATTCTTTATTACTGCTCCTGGATCACAGAACAGATTTTAATTTAGTAAGACTTACAATTTTAAACGACTCCACACTTACTACAGTAGTTCTCAGAACTTCATTTTTGAGATGCACAAAAGGGCAAAAAGCTTTATACCAGTGTATCGCCGACAGACCCCGGTCGTCAGCGGGCGGGATCAAACCTGAGATCTCTGGAGCTTAGTGCATGAGCCTTTACAGAATGAGCTAAAAAGCCAACTGGCTGTTAGCTAAGGCTGTAGAGCAGAGTCATTTTATTTCTCTCTCTAAGTGGTCTCAGTGCTACTAGATGGGACAGAACACCACACCCAAGAGGTGTGTGGGTTACACCAGATCTATTCAGACCAAATAATAAACAATGGAAAAGCTTGAACCCACTTCTTGGTGTGTATTATTAATTTTGGCCCAACTACAGGCCAAACTATTGTTTCAAGCAATACAGAACTAAGCTCAGAATTCACTAAAACATAGAGCTTGTCTATTTAGGTAAACTGACAGGCATTGTGGTAGTGGAATAATTATTTCTCTGTAGCTATGCTGGTCAATTTCCCCATGTAGACAAGCCCATAACACAAAGAGAAAACTCCAGCCTCTCACATAGACGCCTAGTCACTATGGGCCAAATCCTGGCCCCACTCACAAAGGGGGCGGGGGGGAGAAGGGCTCTGCTAGCAGGATGAATGCCAGGATTGTGGATGATGACATTTTGCATCCCCAAGCTGGCAGTAAGGCTTGAGGTGTCAGTATACAGTAGGCATACTTACAATTATCTATCATTCTGGAAGATTCTAAGGTGCCCTGTGATATTCTCTAGCTATGTATAAATAGGCAATTCTGCTAGAAATGGTACCATCTTTCAAAGCAATGTACAATTATAAGGAGATGTTACATTGTGGATGGGCTGTGATGGATTTTAAAAGATACTTGAAAAAGAAGAGGACATGGTAAGCTGCTCTGTACTCTCCCAGGTGTGTGCCCCCCAGTGTAGGGGCCCCCGCTACATCAACATTCCTCCTCTGTCCCAGCACAGCGGGATACAGTCACCCTGGATGAACCCTCCACTACCTGGTCCTCCCCTATGGTGATACACAATGGGCCAGGCTCCGATTTCAGGTTCTACCAGTGTGAATCCAGAGGAACTCCAATGACTTAAATGGGATGAGTCCAGATTTATGTTGTGGTCACTGAATTCAAAACTTGTTGCCAGATGAGTAGAGTTGGAGACAGAAAAGAAGCTTTAATTTTGAATTATTTTTATCAGTCTGTGTATGTGGGACATTAATATCACTTAAAACATTTTTGCCTTTTAAATTTAGAGCTATGGCTCAGTACAGTGTATTACATAATATACACATTTAGTGCTCAGCACTTACAGATGGAGGAATTCTTCTTTTAGATGCAGAGCCACTCAAATGATTTCAGTTCAATGGACTTTATTTTATTTTCAAAATGCTTAACACACTATAAAGATGCACAGATGTCACAACAGTCAAACAAACCAAAGTGATAAGAAAGGTTTGCTACTTACCCCTGTCTGTGTCATAAAGGAAGACAAAACGGTTCCATTCATAATGATCCAGCAAACTTAGGAGAGCTCCCCGTAAAGATGGTCGCAGCTGCAGCACAAACTGGCTCTCGCCCTCTGTGGGGAAACTTGGCGTGATGAGGGAGATGTGCAAGGCGCTGCAGAATGAGGTCAAGGTATGTACTGATCTCTTATCATACAGTCCAAAAATGGCAAAAACTCCTCTAGAGTACTGGGAGCAAACTGCAACAGAACAAAACACACTTCAACTAGTAACAAAACCTTTAAACAAACACATTATATATATTATATATTTATAATTTTCCAGCATTTATATATGAAAATTCTTATTTATTTGGTCTTATCTATTTAAAGATAGGTAAGCAACCTCAATTTTTATATGGATTTGTTTTTGAAACAAAACAGCACCAAACCTTTTGGATGCACTTGATTATAAATGATAATTTATTTCTGGCTTTTTGTGCTAATTAAAACAGCATGTATGAATTAAATAAGAAATTAACATTTTGCATTCAAAGGAAAAGTCAATCTGCAGAAAAGTCAATCTGTTGCGAATGATATGCTTGTTATTACAAACTACATGCCATTCTACCTATATTTTTCACCGATTTATATCAATTCTTTAGGCAACTCTGAACATTTATTTTATTTTAAATGGAAAAGGAGGGTTGTGCTTTGCGGCAGTCTCTCTTTTTTTCCCCTTCATCATATCAATTTCACTAGCAGAAGTTCATTGTAACCAAAAATGCAACTTGAACATTGTAAATTGAAACAATTTAAGACTTTTATTCTCCTTTTCCATAAATTGAGCCATTCTCTACATTAGAGCTTCATCCTTACATATGCTGAATAGCAACTTACTCCATGAATGCTCCCATTGACTTGTTAGTTCACTTCTAGAAAAAGGTATTAACTCAGCATAAGTAAGGACATCAGACTCTTGCCCCAAATCATCTCTCTCTATGCTCTGCCAACCTCTGAACGACAAGACAAATGATGTTCAATGCATATTCTGATTTGCTGATAAGCCCTCTCAGGGCCCAAAGCAAAGCCCATTGAAGTCAACAGACTTTGGATCAGGCCATTAATGATCCATGCACATGAAGAGACATGACTGGTGAGATAAAGGCAACTGGGACACTGAGAGTTAGCTAGCTGAGTTTGCAAGTGAAGGAAAGCAGGAAGTTAGCGTTGTGTGGTGTTGTTCTTTCCTTTCCTTAATCTGCAGGAACTCAACAAGGGAGAACCCGCAAAGGAAGAAAAACAGTGTGTTGCCCTGCCACCACTGCTAATTCCTCTTCTGCCTGCACTTATAGTCCCCCCTGTTGGATGGAGGATGCTAGCTGACTACAGCAGTAGCAGAGAAGGAAGGAGAACTGGCTGCTCTGGAAGGAGTAGAGTGGCTGTTCTGCAAGGAATAGAGTGGCTGCTGGCCACCTCAGGCAGTAGATAGTGCTCTGAGCCCACCCAAATCCCCCATCTGTGTGGTCAAGAACAGATATGCTGTACTGGCAACCAGGAGGTGAGGAGCAGATCTCAATGGCTGAGGAGAAGGAGCCACCTGCACCCAAGGCTGGGAGGTGCATAGCCACCTCACCTAACAGGAGAAGGTGTAGTGTGCTGGTGGTTGGGGACTCCTTCTGAGAGGGACAGAGACATCCATCTGCCAACCTGACATGATGTCCTGGGAGGCATAGTGCATGTCTGGAGCCAGCATCTAAAATATTAAGGAAAGGTTGCCCAGACTCATCCATCACTCTAACCACTACCCCATGCTTCTTCTCCATGTTGGCACTAATGGTACTGCCACATATGACCCTCAATAGATCAGCAATTACTACAGGGCTCTGGGAACAAAGTTGAAGGATTCAGGGGTCCTGAATTCTGGTCCATCCTCCTGGTTGAGGGTAAAGACCCAGGAAGGGATATGTGCATCCTAGAGATGAATGCATGGCTGTGCAAGCTGACAGGAGGATTTTGGTTTCCTTGACCACGGGATGTTGTTACAGAAAGGTGGTTTGCTGGGAAGAGATGGTGTCCACCTGAACAAGAAGGGGAAAAGGAACTTTGCGCACCAACTCACCAACCTAATGAGGAGGGCTTTAAGCTAGGTTCAAAGGGGGCAGGTGACAAACAGTGTATGCCTTCTAGTTAGTGGGGAAGGAGAGATAATAACTAATGACATCAATAAGGCTGTGGTGTTTAATGCCTATTTTGCTTTGGTCTTCACTGAAAAGGATAATGCTGACCAGTTACTCAATACAATTAAATATTAACAAGGGGGAAGGAACACAAGCCAAAATAGGGAAAGAGCAGGTTAAAGAATATTTAGATAAGTTAAGTTGGCAGGGCCTGGTGAAATTCTTCCTAGGTTGCATAAGGAACTAGCTGAAGCAATCTTGAAACTTTAAGCAATTATCTTTGAGAACTTATGGATGATGTGTGAGGTCCCAGAGAACTGGAAAAGGGCAAACATATTTAAAAAAGGGGAACAAAGAGGGCCTGGGGAATTGTAGATCAGTCAGCCTAACTGATTCCTGGAAAGATACTGGAATAAATTATTAATCAATCATTTTGTAAGCACCTAGAGGATAATAAGGTTGGTTATAAGGAATAGCCAGCATGGATTTGTTAAGAACAAATCATAATAAACCAACATAATTTTCTTCTTTGACAGGATTACTGGCCTACTGGATTGGAAGAAGCAGTAGATGTGATATATATTGATTTTTGTAAGGCTCTTGACAGAGTTTCACATAATATTCTCAAAAGCAAATGAGGTCTAGACGAAATTACTATAAGATGGGTGCACAACTGGTTGAAGATGGGTGTACAGACTCAGAGTAGTTATCAATGGTTCTGTGTGAAACTGGGAGGGCATATCTAGTGAGATCCCATGGGGTCAGTGGTGGGTTGGATACTATTCAGTATTTTCATTAATGACTTGGATAATAGAGTGGATAGCACGCTCATAACATTTGGAAATGACACCAAGCTGAGAGGAGTTGCAAGCACTTCGGAGGACAGGATTAAAATTCAAAACAATCATGACAAATTAAAGAACTGGTTTGAATTTAACAAGATGAAATTCAACAAAGATAAGTGAAACTCTTTGAATTTAGGAAGGAAAAATCAAATGCACACCTACAAAATGGTCAACAAATTAGTTAGATGGTAGTACTGTTGAAGAGGATCTGAGGATTACAGTGCATCACAAATTGAATATGAGTCAGAAATGGGATGCAGTTGTAATAAAAGCTAATATCATTCTGGGTGTATTAACAGGAGTGTAGTATGTAAAACATGAGCGGTAATTGTCCTGATCTACTCGGTACTTGTGAGGCCTCAGCTTGAGTATTGTGTCCAATTCTGGGTACCACACTTTAGGAAAGATGTGGACAAATTGGAGAGCAACAAAAATAATAAAAGGTTTAGAAAATCTGACCTATGAGGAAAGGTTAGCACACTGGACACATTTAATCTTGAAAAAAAGAAGACTGAGGGAGGACCTGACAACAGTCTTCAAATATGTTAAGGGCTGTTATAAAGAAGATGCTGATCAATTGTTTTCCATGTCCACTGAATGTAGGATGAAGCAATGGGCTAAATTTGCAGCAAGGGAGATTTAGGTTAGATATTAAGAAAAACTTTCTAACTATAAGGGGAAATAAATTCTGGAATAGGTTTCCCAGGGAGGTTGTGGAATTCCCATCGTTGGAGGTTTTAAGAACATGCTGGACAAACACCTATCAATGATGGTGTTTACTTGGTCTACTAGGTTTACTTGGTCCTGCCTCAACACAGGGGGCTGGACTTGATGACCTTATGAGGTCCCTTCCAACCCTACATTTCTAGGATTCTATGAAAACAGTCTATGCAGCTACTTTCTCTGGATAATAGTTCTTCACTAGCAATTTATTACAGTCAAAATGAATAATTTCCTACTCTTGCATTATAAGAAAAAACAACAACAATGTACTGTAACTTATACATAATCATTAACATTGTTATATATCCCAGAACCACAGAAGTTACAGAAGGGAACAGTCAATTAGACCATCAAGTCCATCTTTCTGTAGTATATACTCAGGTATTTTTCTGTGCTATATAAGCAAACCTTTGTTTCTCACATGGACATTGAAAGAGCAAATACTCATGATAGTATGCAGGAATTAGGTAGTAGCATTCTTGCGGCCTTCATTGTCTTCTATGTTTCAGAAGCCACCAGAACCCAGCATGTGTGTGTATTTGAAATAATTTCCACAGCACTGAAAATATTTTTTCTTCAGTGCTGTATAGTATTTGGCCCGATTCTCCTAGTGTACATGTGAAGTAGCTCCACTGAAAGAAATGGAGTGTAAAAAATAGAGTTTCACCAGTGAAAAACCCATGTAAACAGAAAGGAGAATTGCAAGCTCAGACAAATGTGTAAGTATAATGCCCAGCTCAGCTATCTCCCCCCACTACTCCCCTCTCCCGGTCTTAGTTGGGGTTTTTAGGTGCTAATGCAATACAAATAATAAAAATAAATAGATTTTTGCAAGCTACCAGTTTATTCCATCACTGCTACAAACCTGATATATGGACTTTGCAATCACTTGTATGTATATGATTCCTTAACCATTTTAATGCTCTTTTTCTTTTCTTTTATTAATAAATCTTTAGATTTTAGTTACTAAAGGATTGACATCATAATGTTAATGGGTAAGATCTGAGTTATATTTAAAAAATAAATAATAATACTGTAAAAAATACAGTAAAACAATAATGATAATGATAAATGTGGGCAGGGAGAGGCTAAATTAAGATGTCTTTGCCAAAAAAGTAAATTGAATAACAAATATTTGACTATCAAAGTTTCACCTCCTACAATGTAACTTCATTCAGTGGATAAGGTGTTGGGTTGGAAATCAGAGCTAGGTTCTATTCCCACCTCTGCCACTGACCTACTTTGTGACCTGAAGCAAGTCATTTCACATCTGTTTCATCTCCCACTCTCTGTCTGCCTTGTCTATTTAGATTATAAATAGTTTAGGGTAGGTTCAGTTTTTTCCTATGTGTTTGTACGTGTTTAACAAACTGAGACATCTATCTCAGTTGGGAACTGTATGTGCTACTGTAATATAATTTATTAATATAATTTATTATTGTTATTAATAAATTAATAGTCTGTTAGTCTGTATCCACAAAAACAACAGGGAGTCTGGTGGTACCTTAAAGAT